CACCTATATATGATCTACGATCATTGTTCAATGATCTATATATATGATTATCTATTCACAATCTATGATCTATGACGTATAATCTACGATCTATGATATATGATCAACAATCTCTGATTTACGATCTTTAATCAATGATCTATGATCCATGACCAACTATTTAAGATCTGTGATATATATGAGATATATGAAGCATGATCCAGAATCTACAATCTACATTCTATGATTCATGATCAACGATCTATTATCTTGAATATGCAATCTGTCAATCTGTCAGGAAGCAATGTACGACCTATAATACGTGATCTACGACATATAATGTGAGATCTGCTTACATGTACCTATTTAGCTAGCTTGGAGACAGGCTGCATATGCTATCTGTATCTAGGGCTATGTATCTAGGGAAGAAGATATAGAATAAGTGCATTTATAAACGACATTAAACTAATTCTATATTCTTTGTCTGCTTTTGTCTCTGTCGCTTTCACGGGGATTGTCTATCTCGCTCGCGCTCTTGTGCTGCAGTGTGGCTCCGGTGCTGGCCTCGGCTACAATGTGAACATCTCGTGGTCGGGCGCTCTGAATCCACCGCTGGGCGACGCCGAGTATATCGCTGCATTCCGTACCGTTGTGATGCCCATTGCCAAGTGCTTCAATCCGGATATTGTGCTTGTCTCGTCTGGCTTTGACGCGGCCACCGGCCATCCAGCTCCGCTTGGCGGCTATCACGTATCGCCCGCCTGCTTCGGCCTGATGACACGCGAACTGCTTAAGCTGGCCAACGGCAAGGTGGTTCTGGCCCTCGAGGGCGGCTACGACCTGGCGGCCATTTGTGATTCGGCGCAGGAGTGCGTTCGCGCCCTCCTCGGCGATGCGGCTGCTCCCATAGCGCCCGGCGAACTGGAGCGGCCGCCCTGCCAGAATGCCATCAATACGCTGCAGAAGACCATTGCCATACAGGTGAGTTGACCGTGCCTCGACGGAAGCACAATGCAAGAGAATATCTCTCCACTGAGGACTCAGTGTCGAGCGATTTGTCCTCTTGAACTGCAGCCATCGCAGTCTACAGAATGTTGCTCAGATTCAAATGCCCAATTTGATTGAGTTGCCAGAGATTATAGCTTGTGTCTCAGTGCAGTATATAGATACACTGCAGATACAAAGAATCATCTCTATACAGAAATGTAGATACAATGGCTACTGATATGCTCAATAGAGGCACAGATAAAAGTATCTATGCCTAACTATTGCGTGTGTTAATTGAAGATTCATATACTAATCGAGTTATCTATTCACTTGCTGGGCATTAGCAAACGCATTGGCCCTGTGTCCGGCTGCTGGAGCACACGGTCTGTCTGTCTGCGCTGGAGGCGCTGAAGATTGAGCACGATGAATCTGAAACGGTCAACGCCATGGCCGGCCTCTCCATGCAGTCGCTGCACAGGTGGGCACACACACAGCTCTATATAGATCAGCCATATATCTAATCTTTCTCTCTCTCACTCTTGCTCTTCGTGTAGAACACTCTCGCGTGATGATTCCGAGGAGCCGATGGATCAGGATGAAACCAAATAGACGATCGCGCCGCCCCGCAACGCCGTCCCCGTCGCCTGCTCAACGGACTCTTTTAGTTATTGTTGTAGTTAAAATATTGTTGTTTATTGTTGTTGATGTCATTTGTTGTTGCCATTGTCGTCGTCGTCGTCGTCGACGTCGACGTCGTCATTGTTGTTATTGTTGCTGTTGTTGTAATTGTCATCTTCATGCGAACGTTTGTGAGTTCCTCGTCTGTCGCTTAGCTCCTTCTCTCTCGCTCTCTATCTATCATCCTCTCTCACTTCCCCTCTCTCTCTCTATTCATCTGTATCTTACTCTCTGTCCCACTCTAACTGTATTTTATACGCACAAGCCCCAACAAACACACAAGCTCAGAGAGACATAACAACAAAAATAACAAACAAACAAAACAAACAAAAATGTGAAACATAGAAAAGAATGTAAAGCCATGGAAAGAGAAGGAGAAGGAGACGGAGAAGTTAGAGGACGAGAAGAAGGAGAAGGAGAAAATCTGAGGCAGAACTGGAGTAAAAAAAAAACACAAAAAGAGTTGGAAACAAGGCCTAAAGTTCAAAACGTGGCTGTGCCACTAAAAAGAAAAACAAAAACAAAACAAAACAAGAAAATTAAATAAAACTAAAAACAGTAACAAAAAGTTAAGTAAAGAGTAGAAGCAAACAAAAAGCAAGCAGAAAGCAAAACGTTTAAGAATCAACACAATTATATAGAGTTTATATACATACGTATATGTATATATATATATATGTATATATATATGTATGTATGTGTGTGTACATATATATAGTATTAGCATATAAGTAATATAAAAATGTATATCCATATATATATATACATAGTTCTAGTAGATTGTATTGTATGTGAATTAACGCAAGTTTCAAATGAGTTGATAATATAATAAATATAATATATGAATGTATGTAAAGATCAATAATTGTAATGCTAAATGTTAAAATCGATTCAAAGTCTATAAACAAATAAGGCACACACATAACTAGATATATATATACTTATATATATATATATATATATATATATATATGTGGATATGTGTGTGTATATATGTGCATACTATACCATATAAACTACTATATAAAGCCTGCATTTGTTAAAACGAATATGTGTAAAGAGAGGTATATATATATAAATATATATATATGTAAATATATATATATATAAATATATATATATATATTTATTTATTTATTTATATATGTGTATGTATGTATGTGTACATTAATATATATTTAAATGTTGAACGTGCAAAAAACTATTTTTATTTCTCAATTTATGTCTGTTGTGTGTAGCTCTATTATTATTATTATTATAAAGTTTATTATAATTAAAACTATTTTTATTATTATATTACTATTTTTTTTTAAATATATATACATATATATAGATATTTTTTGTGTATGTGAATGTTGAGAGTATGTGTTGAATTGAAATTGTAGCTCGATTTATAAAGTTATAAAACTTAGGTTTAAGTATATAAAATGAAAGTATAGCTGTAATATGATATGTAATATGATGCCATATGCATATAAGTATATATATACATACTTATCTATATATATATACATATTTATATATATATATATATATATATTTATATGCATATGTGTGTTTGTATGTTAAAATAACAAATGTGAAATATGATTGTCAAACGATTGTCTAGAATCTTTATTTATTAACTATTATGATTATGATGTTTTTTATGATTATAACGCTTTGTTTTTCTTTCTTGTTCTATTTATGGGATCAGAGATATACATGTGAGTGTGTTTGTGTTAGTGTGTGCTAGTTAGTATGAACTATACAAACACACAATTTAAAGATGTTTTTGTTTACTTTTAACTAGACTAGATAGAGTGCAATTAAATGGCATATATGTATGTGTAAGTGTGTGTTTGTGTTAGTGTTAGTGTTAGTGCAGAGTCTGAAGTACAATACGAAACGATGCAATCTATATGTATATGCATATATATATATATATATATATATATATTTATGTGTGTGTGAATATTGATGGATTTTGACAGCAAAGGTTTTTTAATAGATTGCGCATAGCTGTAAGAGCAGCACTAATCAACCATAATATGTGCATATATATAGATGTGTGTATAGGTAGTCTGGAAGGTATTCTAATAAAATATAGATATTTTGTTGGTAATTGAATTAATAAGTAATTAATTTGATTTTTTTTTATATATATATTTTCTTATCGTTTATATTTAGATCCTCAAATGTACCTATGCGTGTGTGTGTTTAGAATAAATCAGTCAAAATTTATATTTTGATCGTAACCCAAACAAAGCAAGGCGAAAATTAAAATGAAATCTGTCGATAAGCTGGGCGGGTACCCAGCACAAAAAATGGTATAACGAATGAAACATTTTAACAAATAGGCATATTTAGCCAAGATCTCAGAAATCTTTGTATAACCCGTATACTATTTTGTACGTAAGTGTGTATGTGAGGGTGTGTGTGTGTGGGTGTATGATGTGTGAATGTGTTTGTTTCTGAAAGTAAATAAAAATATGTTAATCGAGCACAACGAGAAGATAAGAGCCGAAGATATATGATATGAAGCAACAAAATGTTAACAAGCGCTAAAACAATAATTGAGTACAGTAACAGAATATTCAAAAGGAAAATACAAAATACAGAATACAAAATACAAAAATATCTCCTCATTCCCAGTAAGAGCTATAGAGCGAGTCAATCGTTAAGGATTCACTCAAAATAGGGCTTTTGTCCAGTTGTTATACTAGTAATCATAAAAAGAAAGGAACACACATCGTGTTCGATCAAGAATATTTGCAATGTTTTTTATTTGAAGAAAGTCAGCAATGAAAACGAAAATAAAATTTGATATATAGTACAATACGTGCATGTGTTTACATAGTTTACAAACCCAGAGTTGCTTTGTTTTTACTCATGCTGTTACCCAATTCGATTCGAATAGAGCGGCTAAGACAATTAAGCTGTTTAAGTTAAGCCTGGCTTTGAATCGGGGACAATTCATGAAATATTTTGTCGTTTTAGTGTTAACGTACTTATATATGCATATACAAAAATTAATAAAAACAAATGTCTGTGTCGCTTTTTCTATATATATAATAATAAAAGAAAACAAAGTGAAAATGAATTACCAAGCGTTTTTTTGCTATTTCAAAAGATTTTCTTTTCGTGCGTTATTGCCCGCCTTTTGCATAAGAGTGGGACCATGCGTACTAAAGCTAGAAATCCATAAGAACCAACTCGAAGGAACTCTTGTCTCGCTCTCGCCCCCATTTTGTAATATTTATGGCGGCAATTTGAACTAATAGTGAAGCAAGTGTATTTAATCTCGCAACATTTCAATATATATGCGTACTTATACATATTATTTTCTGATTAGGTGCAAGGTGCTATATGCAAATTATCGCACAGTGATTATTTTTGTGCAGTGAAAAGATCATCCAACAGTTGTTTTGCTGAACTGTATGACCATAATTCAGGTGAATTAATTTGGCATTTTACTCTTTCCTGCAACTCTTTCCCAACAGTCTTAAAAGTGTATTTAATCTTATGTCAATGTCAACATATGACAAGGATATAATGTGACTTTAATGTACTACGCGTACGTTATCGATGCACGAATATGGGCCATGAATAGATCAACCAGAAGCTGATAAGCTCTGCAACCCGTTCTCGTCCAACTAGTTGGGCGTGAGACCCCGCATAACCTGGAGCTTGTGCGCTGCGACAACAACTGCAATGGAGGTCAATAGAGGCGAGTGCATTGATCTGAAGCGAGAGCGCGAGACGTCAACAATTGTCAGCGAAGACCTTGCCGTGTGGTGGGCTGGTGGGCGTGTCCAGCTTGAGGAGCGACGTGCGCTAGAACGTTACTTCTTCAATAATCCCGAATTCGATGATGCCGTGCCGCCCAGTTGCCTGTCGTACAAAGAGCGCTACGAGCATGTCCTGGCTAAGGGCACCAAATTTATAGCCAAGTTGCGGGAATGGCAGGCAAAGGATAAGCAGGCTCAGCAGCAGGACAAAGACAGCGTGGACCTTCAGCTGATATACGAGTTTCGCACACTGCTGTCTGGCCCATTAGCGACGGCGCTGTTCCAGCAGAGTTTTCCGCTGCGCCTGCACTTCGCGATGTTTATGCCCACACTGCTGAACCAGTGCAACGAGGAGCAGCAACGTCGCTGGCTAACACGCGCCTGGCACATGGATGGCATTGTGGGCACCTATGCCCAGACGGAGCTGGGCCATGGCAGCTATATACGCGGCTTGGAGACGCGTGCCGACTATGATGTGGAAGAAGAGGAGTTTGTTCTCAATACGCCCACAATAAGCGCCTACAAATGGTGGCCCGGCGGATTGGGCCACACGGCCAACATGGTCGTCGTGCTGGCCCAGCTCTATATCCGGGGCAAGCATCACGGCCTGCAGACGTTTCTAGTGCGCATACGGGATGAACAGACACACGAGCCGCTTCCGGGCATCGATGTGGGTGACATCGGCCCCAAAATGGGCGCCAATGGTGTGAACAACGGCTTTCTGGGCTTCCGCAATGTACGCATACCTCGCGACCAGATGCTCATGAAGAACGCACAGGTGCTAGCCGATGGCCAATTCAAGCAGGCTGCACATCCGCTTCTCATCTATGGCACCATGGTCTTTGTGCGTGTCATCATTGTGCGGGACGTAATGTTTCAGCTGCTCCAAGCAGCGACCATAGCCACACGGTAAGCGCGAGGAGTTATCCTAGCATGGATTGTTCACATTGTTTCGTTTGCCTTCTAGCTACTCCGCCGTGCGTCACCAGAGTCCCATTGACCCGAATGCAAAGGAGCCGCAAATCTTGGATCATTTGACGCAGCAGGTTAAGATCCTGCCGCAAATAGCTCGCGGGATCTGCTTCCGCTTGGCAGCGGACGTCCTCTGGGCTTTTTACCAGCGCGTCATGAAGCAACTGGAGACAAAGGATGGCTCAGGCCCGTTGGCGGAGCTGCACGCACTTAGCTGCTGCCTCAAAGCCGTCTGCACTCAGGATGCTGTCGAGGGCATCGATGTACTGCGCAAATCCTGCGGCGGGCATGGTTTTATGGCATCTGCCAACTTTGACAGCATCCATGGCTTAGCTGCCGCCGCCTTCACCTACGAGGGCGAGCACACAGTGCTGCTGCTGCAGACGGCACGCTTTCTGATTCGCCAATTTACCGATTCCCTTAAGCGCAAGGTGCTGCCCGCCAGCGTCACCTATTTGCGCAATGCAGCGCCTTTGAGCTGGGGCGACAATCTGCTCGAGAATGCAGCCCGTGCGCTGGAGATCAGCGCCACTGGTCAGCTACGCGATGCCTGGCAATGGCAGCAGGAGCAGCGTCAATCGCATAGCCGCACGGAGCACCAAGTCAACAATTTGGCCGGACGACGACTCGCAGCGGCGGCTGCGCTACACGGTCACGCCTACTTGGCACGCAACGCCCTGCAGCAGCTGGAACAGCTGAAGAGGAGCACAAATCAAGGATTGTTTGAGCTCCTGCAGCAGCAGGTGGAACTGTTTATATTGGACACATTCCAGCGACAGCTGGGCGCCATACTCAAATGGAACAGCGTCAACGGACAGCAGCTAAAGCAGTTGGAGCAGCGCTATGAGCAGTTGCTGGGCATACTCCGTCCCAATGCAGTGGCTATAGTCGATGGCTTTGACTTCCATGATCGTGTGCTTGGCTCAACGTTGGGCTGTTGGGATGGCCGCGTGTACGAGCGTCTGTTTGAGGAAGCGCGTCGCAATCCGCTTAATCAGGAGACTGTCAATCACAGCTATCATACGCATCTGAAGACCCTTTTGCAGCCGAGCAAGCTATGAGGCATTGTGACTGGTCTCTTTATTGTGGATGAGCGGGAAACAACACAGAAAGCAAAATGGATTAAGCTAATAAATTAATTATGGAATATAATATATATAAAAATATATAACATTTAGAACATCTTCTTCTTAACCGCCGTGTAGCGCTCCATGTAGATGTCATAGCCATCGAGATCGGTGAACTGTTTGGAATTAAACAGATTACCATCAACGGCTAGATTGCATATCTTTGAGTCCTTGAGGATGCGCGGCGTCAATGCAATCGCCTGCAAGCAGTTCTCCTCGAGCCGCAGCGTCTTAAGCTTGGGGCAATCTGCGATTTCCTCGGCCAAGACCGAGATTTGGTTTTGATTCAGGTTCAGCTCGGTTACATAAAGGCTGCCCACCTCAGAGGGCACTTCGGTGATTTGATTTCGCGACAAGTCCAACACATCCAGTTGCTTTAATCCACAGAGCATCGAGGGGAATTCCTTGAGCTGATTATTGCATAGGTTGACGGTCTTGAGGTGGGTGCAATTGTTTAGTGACTTAGGTAGCTTTGTTAGGAAATTGTTCATGAGGAGGAGCACCTCCAGTTTGAGCAGCTCCCCAACCACCTCGTGCAATTCTGACAGTCGATTGCCGCTTAAATTGAGATGTTTTAGCATCGTTAGCCTACCCAGTTCTTCGGGTATGCTTTCGAATCTATTCTCCGATAAGTCTAGAGTCTTCAACACATTGGGATATGATTTTAGCTGCGGCGGGAACTCCTGCAGCCGTTGCAATGATATTTTTAGCACACCCGTCTTCTGTGCCGTTTCCAGATGCTGTTTTATTTGTTTATTGCCCATGTCCGTGCTCCTGCTCAGCTCTGAGCTATTGATGGTGGATATTGATCTCATATCGATATATATATCGATATCTCTCACTTGCAAAAATATGCGATGTTTTTTCGATGTGACACGAACGATGCTTATGGGCTATTTAGCAATATACATACAAATGTTTTGAATTCAAAACAAATGTGCACAATTTTAAAAATAGAGGCCGAAATTCTGACAAAAATGTGACCGAGGAGCTGTTTCGGGGCATATCGTGGACAATAAAATTTCAAATCAGGAATCGTTTGTAAGAGAACACAAATGTTGATGTATGCATGACTTAATAAAATAAAATACTTAAATATTAATAGAAAAAAAAATAAAAATAAAAAAATGAGAAATGCAAGTTCAATTAATTACATTTATTTAATAATTCTTTTAACACGTAGCTTTTTTATTGTAATTTAGCTGAATAGGTACAGAAACAGATCCATTATCACAAAATCTTATCAGAAATAATTTGAAATAAGTGCTAGAAGATAAATTAATATGAACATGTACTCTTTATATGTATATAAACCATTACGCGATAGTTAATCGATAGTTCTTAACAAACACAGCAATTCGCGTTTTACAATACTTTGAATATCACCACTGCTAAAGCTGTCATAAAATACAAGCGTGGACTCGCGGACTGCCGCATCGAAAGCATTAGAGGGTATTCATTTTGGTAAGTTACGATATGGAAAGTGCATTCGAAATACTGCAATTGTTAACGAGCTGATTGTAAACACCCGATCTTTTCGTACAGTGCACGCTGTCAAACACAATATCACGCCTTTATCCAACGCAAGTGGCTGAACGTGAAGCACGCGCTACTTACTGTTGCAAACGTTGCGAGTGACCAGTGAAGAACCGGTGAAGAAAGCTGTGATTTCTATCAAAAGTTGAGATTGAAAGAGCGTTAGCAATGCCCAAGGACACGATAACCAAGGTGCAGGAGTACAAGGACTCGCTGATCACTAAAGCGGAGACTCTGATCACGAAAGGCTTTCCCGAGAAAATCGTCGAACTGAATGAACTACTATCCACCGCCATGTTCAACGAGCGCAACTTCAATGAGGTGCATCAGGATTTAAACATTCCGGTCATGGCACCAATTTTGCTTAACAATCATGACAACGACGGCAATGCTAATGATGATCATCCCATGCCCAAGCGGGCGCGTAAGGACGACGTCTCCGGTACCGCCGTATTGGGCTTACCCGCTGGCACGGTGCCCTGCAACAAGCCGCTCTGCGAAATGATCAAGGTGGTCAAACCGATCATACGTAAGCTGGTCGAGGACTGTAAGTAGCTATCATTTCATAACGTAAGCTGTAATTAATGCCTCTATCCCTCTCTCTTTCTCTTTGTTTTTCATTAGCGAACCTACTGAAAATGTGGATTTCCTTTATGATTCCCAAAATTGAGGATGGCAACAACTTTGGCGTTTCAATCCAAGAGGATACACTGGCCGAAATCCAAACAGTTGAGTCTGAGGCCGCTGCTTTCTTCGACCAGATATCCAGATACTTTCTCTCTCGGGCCAAGGTTGTCTCAAAGGTGGCCAAGTACCCGCACATCGATGACTACAGGCGTGCGGTTGTCGAGCTAGACGAGAAGGAGTATCTTAGTTTGTGGCTGGTGGTGTGCGAGGTGCGCAATCGCTACTCATCGCTGCATGATATAGTTATAAAGAATCTGGAGAAGCTGAAGAAGCCGCGCTCTTCGAACACTGAGAGCTTATATTAGAGACGCCCATTTATTATTATTTGTTTCTTCAAGTTAACAACAGACCACACGCCTCCTCCTCCTTAAAACAAAATAGGAAGCCAACCGCATCCCAAACCGCAACAGCATCCCATTCTGGAGACCTGGTCCCATCAAAGCGGGGATCATACAGTTAAACTAAACAGTTAAAATACACTCGAAATTTCCATAAGAAATGGTTTGTTATTCATTAAATAGAGGAGAGTTTGCAAGAGATCTAATCAGTACGAGATCAACTTTAGACGATATGTTACAAGCGGACAGTTGTTCTTAAGGACAATTTAATGTAATACAAATATATTTGGGTATCTAGATAATAATCTAGATTAAAGTAATATACAAAACGAAAGTTGATGCTAATTATAGATTCCAAGCAATAGCTTAAGCTATACACACATAAACGTAAATAAAAACAAATCAAAGCTCGGTCGCTCTTAATAAAAAAGAAAAGAAAAGAAAAGATTATTACAAATTAATAACAAATTCTTGAAAATAGGCTTAACTTATAATGAAACTTGTAATAAATATGGGGAGTACTCGCAAACTTGTATACATAAGGCATGTTGCGTTTATATTTATATAAAAGCTAAAATTTGCGAGTTGATTTTTGTTGCTCTTGTTTCAATTAGCTGTTTCTAAATTGCATTAGTGTGAGACGGGAGCCTGTGCATATAGGGAACAAACACATACACAGTTGTGTGCTTGTGTGTACCACGTGACTTGGTGAACGGATGGGGCGGGAGCTGGGGCACGGGGGGCTCGGAGGTGTTCGTGTCCTGCAGGTAACATAAGTAACTATGTTTTAATTATCGGTGGAAAACAATAATAATAAAACACCCAACAATTTTAACACAATAAGTATTTGCGGAACTATACACAGACAATTTGCCGTGCAACAATCAAAGGCTGGGCCGTCACAAGATTAAGCTGCGTCATCGTTATGAATTTTGGTTAGCTGCTGGCTTAAAAGATTTGTATGAAAATGTAGCAAAAAAACCAGGCGATCAGCAGTTAACAGAAAATCAGCACAGAACAAATTCATTGCATATGCACCAGGGGTAGCATGCAAAATGTTAAGCTGACAGCTAAGTTACAGGCGACTGTTAAGTTGCAGCTGCGACTCACGTAAAGACATAAGCTAACAGCTGCAATCCAAGTAAAAGCTTTGAGCTTCTGCTAAACCAAAAGAAGAAGCGAGCTAATGAGGAAGAGTAAAAGAGAGAGAGAGAGAGAGACATAGAGTGAAAAGGCACGTTTTGTTATACATTTCTTTTGTTTTTGTTTTATTTTTTTGCTTGTTGTTTGTATTTGTTTTTATTTTTGTTTTGTTTGCTTTTTAATATGTTGTATTTAATTTTATATTATTATTTTTTAAGCTTACAACTTAAGGCATAAAGTTACAAACTAAAACTTAAGAGCTACACATCGGTCTCTTTACTGGTTGTTTATCAATCGAAATCAGCTCTAGCCATATATATTCATGTGTATATGTAAATGTATATATATAATTGTACATAATTATATATATACATGAATACATATATTTATATTTATATTTATTTTATTTTTATATTTATTTGAATTCTTTATCGAACATGCATTCAAAATGTTTTTTCTTTTTTCTTTGTATCTGTATATTTCGTATCGTAAATTTCATGCTCAACAGAACAAATATTAAAAAAAAAAATAAACAAATAAAAATAATAAACGAGTTGGCTCAAACTATCGACTTTGTTGCTGTTGTTAGTACATATTGTTAATATATATTTATAAATAATTTATTTCTTTTTTTTTTTTTTTAATATTTGTGTTTGTTTTACATACATTTCCATAATCTTTGTGATCATATATATCATTATCATGTTTTTCTTTTTGTTTTGCTTTTGCTTTGTTTTGTTAATTAAAATTCGATAACTTTTATTTAATTTTATCTTTCGCTTGTTGTGGCTTGCATTGAAATTGATGTATTATTTATATTTGTATGCACATATCTATATATATATTTTTTTTTGTATATAAAGGGATGTATATGGAACTGCGCTTCGTTGTGTTCAGGCGACTCTGTCCGTAGTTATGAGTTCGTCGGCTACTTGACTCAGCTACCATATATGTATATATATGTATATATGTATATATACTTACGTGCATACACATATACACACTTATATATAAATACATATATATATTTAAATATAAACATACACCTTTATGCACATCTATATATGTTGTATATTTTTTGTTTTCACTCTCATTCTATATATATATATATATATATATATATATATATATATAAATATATATATACATATATATATTTATTTATTTATTTAAAAAAAAAGTAGGGGTATGCATTACAAGGTTACATGTGTGTGTGTATGTATCCATGTGTATGAGTGTATGACTGTTTATATACACACATATATACATACACACACACATACATACACAATCACACACACACATATATATACATATATCATATGCCCATATATGCCTTGTTCTTGCTCATTTCAATGAATCGTTTTTTCCTCTTTTGTTTTTTTTTTAATATGTTTAATATAAGTGTATTTATGTACGTATACATACATATGCATACAAATGCATGTCTATATATATTTTTATGTATTTATTTTATAAGTTTCTGTTAATATTTTACAAATGTTTGTTGAATAAGTCTTAGCGTTTTGTTGTGGTTTTTATATTTATTTTTTTTTTCTTTTTTCATTCTTTTTTAGTTACATTGTGTATTAAAAATATTTAATTTTGTAAATTTTTCTTTTTGTTTTAACTCTTGTTTTAAAATGTTTTGCTTGTAAAAAATAAGTTAAAAAAAAACATAAACGGTAAAATAGCTAAACACTAAAACTGCATTTTTTTCATGTTTTTGTTTGTTATATAAAAAAATATGCATATGTATATAATAATAATAATAATAGCAATAATAATAATAATATATATATAAATTGTATTGTATATATTTATATATATTTGTATTTGTTTCTGTTTTTGTTTTTATTTAACTTCGACTTACATAATCTTTATAATAATAAACGTACATAATTCAATAGCATAAAGCATACATCGTATATATATATACATATACATATACATACACATACATATACATATGCATATACACATATATATATATTTATGCATCCATAGGTGTATAAAAAAAAAACAATTCTTCATAAATTAAAAACTTACACATAGAAAATAGTAAAAAAAAATAGTAATAGATAGTACAAAAAGTAATTATTTTATATGTTTAAAATTATTTTTAGATTTTATGAAATTTACAAAATATTGTTTAAATTAATGTTTTTGCAAGTGTACTATATCATATATAAATTTATATATAGATATATCTATATAAATTTACTTGTTTCCATTTATGTTTATCAATTTTTTTGCTTTTACTTTTGTTTTATTTTTTTTTAGATTTTTTCTCTTTTCTAAGAACAGCCCAACAGTGTGTGTTTATTTTCAGTTAATATATAGTTTAAATTTAGTCGTTTAATATATATGTAGTTATGTAATATAATTTTCATCTTTAAATGTACATATCCATATATTTATTCATATATTATATATATATATATATATATATATATTGTCACTACATTTTGTTTCCTTATTTTTTCGACTCAAGTTCTGAGGTTTCTTTACGTTTGGGCTACAAATGACAACAGATGCACATAACTGAAAGGTCAAATCGAAGTACGATAACGAAAAGACTGACAGAGTAAGAGAGAAGGAGAGTGAGAGGGACAGAGAGAGTGGCACACAACAATACACAAGAACAGTGTGAGACAGAGACAAGTATGTGCAAGAAAGAGAGAGTGAGGTGAGCGCGAGTTAACATTGATCGTAAGGAAGCGTCGCGTGGCGTTGTATGAGGGAGTGAAGCAGCAGTTGCTGATTCTCTTTATATATACATATATGTAAATGTAAATGTAAATATAGATATACACATACACATACACATATATAATACATACACATTGCGTTTAAGCATGTGCTCTACGATAATTTTAAGATTTTGCTTGCCTAACTACAGTTTGCATTATTTAAATATTTATTTATTTTTGGTGCATGCGTGCGTGCGTGTGTCCATTAAGTTTGTATGTGTGTGTGTGTGAAGTCAATCAATGTAAGGGAGTAATAGGAAAGCGGTTCGATGGTCGGTCGGTCGTTCGGTCGGCTTTTTAACAGAAATGCAAGGTAACTATCTGCTCCAAATGCACCGACTCTTTACAAATATGCGCTCGTGAGAGTGCGTGCGTGCGTGCGTGCTTGTAGTTGCGTTTCTTCTCTAACTCTCTTTGCAGCTTTTGCTCAAAGCTCTTTTACAATTTGCATTTGCGCTCACACCGTGTGCTTAGAAGAGAGGGAAGGAGAGTTACTAGCTAATTCGGCTAACTGTTCCAACCGACCGTCTCTCTTAGTTTGCCGTGCTCTCTTTAAAACAGGCGAATCTTAACTGTCATCTATTAATATTTCCTCTTATTCTTATGTGCATTTTGCTTTCTCTTTAATGCAGTTAACTGCGTACAGTACATACATAAGCTGTTGTTGCTGTGTTGCTGTCTGTTATCGATCTCCTTTAATTGTTTTTAATAGTAGCCGTGACCAGCGCCAGCACCACTGCCAGCGTTGCTTGCATAGTGGTGCGCAGCTGCAGCGGCGGCGGCTGCTGCTGCTGCCGCCGCCGGATCAGCATAATAATGCGCGCGCTGTTGTTGTTGCTGTGCCAATGCTGCCGCTGACGACGTCGACTGCAACGGCGGCGGCGGCAGCAATGCTGTCGGCTGGTAATGCGCCTGATGGTGGCTGCGCGGCGAATGCAACGACTGCTGCTGCTGTTGCTGCGGCTGAGGCAGAGGCTGCTGATGACGTCGATAGCCGGCACTGGTGGCCCAGATATGCTGCTGTTGCTGTTGCTGTTGCTGCTGCTGTTGCTGTTGGTGCTGGTAGACGTTGGCTGCGCTGTGTGGATTGGCTGCTGGAGGCGCCGTCGCTGCTGCCGTCAGACTGCGCATGCCGGACGACGACGCCTGCAGTCACAACTAATCTTCGTCGCTAAGCGCCTCGTACTTCGATGACAGCAGAGGCTTTGGTTCGCTGGCTGCAGCTGCCGCTGCTGCGGCTGCCGCAGCGACGGCCAACACGCTGGCATTCAACGGACCACCGTTGCCACCGCCGCCGCCGCCGCCAGGTGAGGTGCATACACCTGCGTTAGATGAAGCGCCGCTGCTGCTGCCGCCACCGCCCACGACTAAGCTGACGCCCGCTGCTGCTGCGGCGCTCGCTTCGCTCAGCGCATGCGCCGCCGCCTTGGCGCTCAAATGGCTCGGCGGCGCCGACTGATGGGCCAGTGGCAGCACCGTAGGCGGTGGTAAAGGGCCA